ATTGCTATTACTTAAGCAATGGGATAGAAAAACTGCTGGAAAACACTGGTCTGTCTTGTTTCCTTGATGGCCTCATCCCCCATGCAGCCAAAGAAGTGTTACTGTGACTTCCTAAAGGTGACTTGTTAGATCCATATGGCCTCTGTGGAGTTTTTCTTTGACCAAAGCATTTCTGGTGTTCTGTAATGAAAAATCTTCTGCCTGATGACAGATAGATTGTTAATCCCCTTGCTGCTTTTTCGGGTTTCGAAGCTGGAAGGTGACAACTGCCTTTTTCCATAGATACTTTGTAGTTACTCCTCCGACAAACACTTCATCTTCACTCAGAGGTCTTCTGACAGGCTTTTCTGAGAAACCAGCACAGATTATTTCACTTTATCAGGCAAAGAATATAAAGTTGTGTTTTTGGGGTTTTTTTTTTTTTAGCAATGTACTACCAGTGTTTGATAGTTGATTAAAATATGCGATTCAGAGAGTATTTTACTGAGACAATCTGGTGTTGTACAGCACGTCTGACATGATCACAGCAGTCCCTTCTGGTTTTAGTACCTACGAATCCAGTTTTGCCTTTATCTTGTTCAAGGTCTGCTTATTTTTGTGGGTCCCCAGCTCTTTTCTAGTATGAATTGTGGGTCGATTCAGCACCTGGGCTTCCAGGGGTGCAGGGGTTCTGTCAGAACAGCACTTTTGGTTCGGTTTGGAACAACACAAAGCAAGTAGAGATGATCTGGGATTAGCGCTAAATATTCAAGCTGATTCTGAGCCAAACTGCTAATGTAGAAATACTGGTTCAGCTCTGCATGTATTCCAGTTTAATTTGGGTTTAGTGAGAATGCTGCTGTACATACTTTTCTGGGAACAAGAATCTTACACACCTGAGTTACCCCTCTGACTTAACAAATCAACTGCCATTAATGACCTTGGACTGTTTCTTACAGGAATACAAACTGATGATGGAATTGGTTTTTATTGATTACTTCTGTTTACCAAAAATATACACAAATTACTATTTGACTGAACATGGAAAAATTGAATAGCAGGGAATTGTTTTCTCATGGTTTAAAGTCCTCTTGTAACTGCATTTAACCTCAAAATTCTCTCTTCTCTTTCACTGAATTGCATTGCAGAGGCTTCTTGAGAATCTGCCTGCAGAATTTTTGCTTTCTGTTGTATCTCTGAGACAATATTTAACTCAACAATTCTAAGACTATAGGACTGGGTGGTTGTGTCAGAACTAGGCTGGGAACCCTGCTTCTAAAAGCAGGCAATGACAAATATGTAGGGAACACTAATAATATTCTAAGCATACAGTTTTGTTTTCCTAGAATAGTCTCTGAGCTTCCAGCAACTTGTGTCTTGATGTTTTTGCAGAGGTGATATGAACCTGTTCCTTTTGGTAACAGGCAGTTCAAGGCTCTGACATGGATGTATTCTTGGGATTGGTTCTCCCCAGTGTATCATTTGACTTTAAATTCATCTCTCTCTGAGCTCTGTGAGGTCCTTTGGCAATTCTTCTGTTGAGCATCATAACTGCTGTTAACCAAATCACTTGGTCTTGGCAGGAAATTGCACCTTAATAAGTCCCTTTTACAGATCTTTCACAGTTGTGATGAACAGAATAGGTCTGAACTCAAGGAACAGAAGATGTCCCAGCTCAAAAGTTCTGTGGGACTTGCTGGTAAACTTTTTTCACTGTGAAAATTTACTTTTTATTTCCTAATCAACTGTTCATTCATGAAAGGACTATGCACAGTACCCTACTTCCAAAAGCAACCAATGACAAATATGTAGGGAAGACTAAAAACATCATAAGCATGTAGTGCTATTTTCCTAGAATGGTGTCCCAGCTTCCAGCAACTTGTGTCTTGGGGACCTCCAAAGACAGCAGCGACACCTTTGCGTTTTATAGTCTTGGATAGATCCAATTTTCATCCAATGACAATTTTGTCTCTTTGGCTCTTGAAACTTTCTCAAACGTCTCTGGAAATCCTAGTAAAATTATATGAACTGAATCTCCCTTGAGTATGTTTGACTTAATTAAACAATGCCACTAGATCTGCATGGTGTGAATTTCTGTACAAAACTCATGTCAACTCCTCCCCAGTATGTCCTATTTATTTACATGTCCACTAATACTGGTTTTTTGGGTAGGTTTGTTTTTTTGCTATTTTGCTTCATAATTCACGTTGGATTTACAGGTTTACAGTTTTCTTAAATCCCTTAATGCTTGCCTTAAAAAATGGCATGGCATCACACCTCCCATGTGAATTTTTGGCTAGTGGCTTGATATTTAAGTTAGTTCATCCCTGAATTATCTTACAACGCTGAGGTGAAAACAACTTGGTCCTGGACTTGTTAGTATAATGATTTGTTCTAGAACTTAATCTGCTCTTCAGGGTGAAACAGAACCTCCGATGTATCTTTTAATTAAATAACAAACAGGTATTTTGGTACAGGAACATTCTTGAGTTCCTTTGCACTGAATTCAGATGTAAAACAAAAAAAAAAAAATATTTTTTCTGCAATGGTTGTATAGTGTCTGAGTAATCCCTTTAATCTTGATTTGTCTCATTGCCAGGTTCTCTGGCATGCTTCCATTTCCTCATGCATTTGAAAAAGAAGTTACTAGTTTTCATACTTCTAGCAAGTTGTTCCTAAAAGTGGGTTTGTGGGTTTT